TCATTTTTTAAAAAATTTTAAATAGTTTTTATGATGAATCTATTCATATTACAAATGACTTCTAGAACACGTTAAAAAACCAGATAAGCAAAACCAAATTAAAAACAAAAACCTAAAATTACCTTTTATCTTATAATCAGTCAATGTTTCGGGGTATGAGCTTACAACATTTTTGATGAATCAATATATTTCCAAAGTCAGGTTATTTTATTTATTTATTTATTTATTTATTTATTAGATTTTTATTTTTCTGCCTTCTATGCTACAAACTTATTTCCAAGTCCTGAAGTGTTGTTAAGCATCGTTTTTTTTTTTTAATTAATTAATTTATTTGAGGGAGTGTGCAAGGGGTCAGGGGGGAAGGTCAAAGGGAGAGGGACACAGAGAATCCCAAGCCAACTCTGAGCTGAGCACGGAGCCCAACAAGGGGGGTCAATCCCAGGACCCTGAGATCATGACCCAAGCTGAAATCAAGAGTTGGAGGCTCTAACATCTTAGCCACCTAGGTGCCCCTTAAGCAACCTCTTTTAAAGACTGCATTGTGTTTTATTTTCTGGATGGTTCAGAATTCATTTAGCCAATCCCCCTCTTGTTGGACGTTTAAGTTGCTTCCAGTTTTTCAGGCTTATAAATAGCACAGAGCAGAGAAGTACAACCCTATAGCTAAATCTTTACACATCCTTGTGTATTTCCCCAGAATAATCCTCAGAAATAAACTCCTTAAATTAAAGGATGCTGGATTTGGTTACCATCCCTGCACAAGCCCTGGGAAGGTGGGGTCATTCTGAGGGTCTTAGGACTGAGTCAGGCACATGGAGCTCCAGGGCCCGCTGGCCCCCAAGTCTGCATGTCCCACGTGGGGACTATCCCCATCCACCTCTCCTCTCCCCACCCCACCCCCAGGCTTGGGGCTCACCCCAGAGGATGAATGACGCCTCCCTGCCAGACGTTGAGGCCATTTGTCTTGTGCTCCGGAATCCTGAAGAGATAAAATCTGGGCAGAGCACATTTATTTATTCAATGTAGTTCTGGGCAGGTGAGCCCTACCCTTGGGGATCCCCTCCAGCTCAGGGTTAAGAGTTTACAGGGAGAAAGAGCAGGTCACGGGATACAGACCAGCTCCAGGATATGCCCTATATGGCCCCGAGGAGGCCCCATTCCCCACCTGGGGCCCACCTTAATCCCAGCTCCAACCACTCAAATGGTCCCCTTGAGGCCCCACAAAGATCCAAGTTCTCTTGTCTTCAGACAACCAGAGCACACGTCCTCATCCCATCCCCCGCCCCCCCGAACTGTGTGACACATCTCAGACTCTCCTCAGCTGTGGTGTCTGCCCAGATAGTGTGCAGAGTGTGCCTCCTCTATGCCAGGGCTCCTGACCCCTGACCCCCACCAGATCACCAGGGGAGCTGGGTAAATATTCAGAGACTCAGATTCTGCCGGGCCTGAGAGGTGCCCAGGAACCTATATTCTCACAAAAACTGGTTCTCCCGACTCTTTCCACAGAGCTGTCTTCTCGTCCCTCATCTCTGCTGATGTGAGGAGACAGGGCATTTGGCCCCTGGGTCAAGCAGGCCCCCGGCCTGCGAAGCAAGGGGAAACAGATGGCTTCAAGGCTGCTTTCTCAGGTAACGTAAGTTCAGGAGGCTTGGCAGTCAAACTGGCCTCTCCTGGCAGGGGGACTTGGCAGGGCCAACATGAACGGCCTCACAAAGCCATCCTCACAGCCTCTCCGGCCATGAGTCCCCATGCGCTTGCTTGCTGGGATGCATGGGCACGTCTCTGGCCGGCCAGGCCTGCAGGGGTTTGTGGCTGGAGAATCCAAGTATAGTCTCAGGCTCCTGTGGATGCTTCCTCTAGAAGGTCCTGGCCGCAACAGCACACCAGGTCTGAGGAGAAAGGGCCTCTGTGGGCCAAAGGTGGGTCTGTGTAGACAGAGGCCCACACACGTCACCGCCTTCCTGGGCCCCGGGTCTCCTGGGCCAGCCCAGCGGACTCGAGAGGGTCAGACCCTTTCCCACCACCACTTCTCTCCCCCATACCAGAGGCAAGAAGGTAAGCCTCCCGGTTTCTGTACCAGGGCCTCTTGGGAGCCCCTAGGCCTGCGGTGGGTTGTGTGATGAACCAGAGGTCCCTGTGGGCAGGGACCCCAGAGATGCCCTGCTCAGTTCCAGCCATTTCCAATTCCTGGACTTTCAAAATAAAAGCAATCTGTTAAACGTACAACAAAATGCATTCTCCGTCTCAGTCTGTGGTGACTCCAGCCCTTCTGTTGCTCTGACCAAAACCTTGGAGTGGTCCCTGTGTCTTTTCTCTTAGATCCCATGCCCCATCCATCAGAGAATCCTGTCAGCTGGATTCCAACTTATTCTAGAACCCAACCACCTCTCTCAGCACAGGGGCCTGACAGGACCGGGTGGCGACGGGGCGAGAATGGTCTGGGGTCAGGCTATTGTCACTGACCAGCATATGTGCTCCGCCCCCTTCTGTCCAGATTCAATTTCATCATTACTATTCTTAGCAAGAAAAGCAGTTCTTCCGTCATATAGAAAATGTGGATTTGTGTGTGTGTGTGTGTCTTTAATATGGCATCACAATCCCCCAAATTCTTCTTCAGATCTCGTGTCTGGTTGCAAAGTTCTCATGGAGGCTCCTTTTCGGCATAGGGAGCCAGAGCAAGACACTCAAATATCTGGGAGCCCCCTGAGATGCTGAGACCAGGGCCAGTGGAGCCCCAACCCCACAGCAGCCTGCCCTGCTTGGACTCTTCCGTGGGATGATTCTGCCACCACCACAGGTACGACGATGTGACAGATATGCAAGGATGACATGGAAAGCTGGGTCCCTTCCCCCAGGGGACACTTCTGCCTCGCTCTGTCAGCAGGAGAGGGTTCCTCCCTGGAGCACGTGTCAGGACCTGTCTTCCTGTGGGACCCCAGGCTCAGCACTGGGTGAGACGGACAGACATGGGTTTTTTCTGGGAATTGGGGGTGTGTAGGGTGTATGTGTGTGACGACACATGCTGTGCTGCCCGCCCCCCCAGCTCCTCTGGCCTGGAGGGGACATTAACCAGGCACAGCCTCCCAGTCCCCTCTCCTATCCCAGCCCCATCGACATTCCAGGTCAGGGCCTACAGTGGGCCTTAGGTGGCAGCTCTTCCAGACCGGCTTCTGCTGAGCCTTGCTTTGCAGGCTACCACCATCAGACTGGACTCCCCAAGTGCATCCGAGTGGCTCCACTCAGGGCTTAGAGGAGCCAGCCCTCTTGTCCAAGTGAGGAAAGGAGGAGGCCCAAGCCCATGTCACCCGGCAGGTCCACGGCAGAAGATGAATGGAAGCCAGACGGCCTTCTTCAGCTGAGAAAGTGGGGGCAGGACCAGGGAGGAAGGAGGAGCAGACCGCTCCCAGACCTGGATGCTAGAGCCAGCAGCTCTCCTCAGCCCCAGCTCAGCCCTGAGGCCTACCCAAGCCCACTCACTTCCAGCCTGGCCTCCTCTGTCTTCCTGAGCCCCCAAGGCCGGCCAGAGGCTTCTCCCCTTCTGCAGCCTTCTATCCATCTTCCGGCTCCTCCTTTGGTCTTGCTGCTTTGGCAGACTCCAGGCAAGGGAGCAAAGCTGGTGAGGAGAAGGCGTCTGTGCCCGACTCAGCCAGACTCCCTTCCAGCCAGTCAGGCTGCCCTCCCCTTGACAGGCTGCCTAAAGGCACCCTGCCCCCCAACCTTCCCCCACCCTCGCCCCCATGCTCTCCCTACCTCTATGGCCCCCAGCCCTGACTCAGCCCATAAATTACCTGGGGATGGTCGCTGACTCAGCCAGGAAGCCCAGAGTCCTGCTCCTCACCCCCAGGCCTCAACTCCACAGCTGGCTCTCATTCCGGAATGCTTGGTCCCCTCCCTTCAGGAAATTCCTGGAAAATATCAGGCTTCTTCTAGGGGAGATCTAACCACAGCCACAGCGGGGAAGGGAGCCACGACAGCCTCATCCATCATTCTGCCACGCTGGCCCTCCTCCCCAACTGCTGTGTTTGTGTGGGGCTGAGCATGGAGGTGTCGGTCCCCACGAAGTGACAGGCACATGGCCACGGAGGGACCACAGGGCAGGGAAGAGGGAAGAGAGGCCAGCGTGGGGTGGGGCAGTCAGGGCAGGCTGCTGGGAGGCAGGACCAGTCCTGGGCTAGGAAGGACAGTAACAACTGGTAAGTAAAGGGATGGAACGGGTGCTCCAGGCTCAGGGAAACACCTGAGCCAAGGTGAGACAGGGACAAGAAGCCTCGTATGTACATGGGGTCGGAGGGAGTTGGAGAATTACAGGCCTGAAGGGACACTGGTCCTTGTAACATCCTGGGACCTTTCTTGGGCTCTTTAGGGCTGCTCAGGCCTGGGGGATGGGGCAGGGTCTCTGCACCGTCATGCTCCAGTCAGAGGGTAGCAGCAGGGCTCCAGCCCTCCAGGAGCCCAAGCTGAGGCATGTGGTTTAGGCATTAGGGCACTGTGGGGCTAAGGGAAAGCTTCCTTCCTCCTCCGGATTCCTCCTTGAATACTTTCTTTGGAAAGCCCATTCATTTATTAGGGAAAGCCAAGTCCAGTGCACACATAATACATCTCTTTATTTTGGCTGCTTCCCCTCAGACAATAACAACTTTTTTTTTTTTTTTTTTTTTTTTTTTGACAGAGAGATACAGAGAGCCCGCAAGAAAACAGAGCAGCAGGCAAAGGGAGAGGGAGGAGCAGGCTCTTCACTGAGCAGAGAGCCCGATGCGGGGCTCGATCCCAGGACTCTGGGATCATGACCTGAGCCAAAGGCAGATGGTTAACTGACTGAGCCACCCAGGCATCCCAGACAATGACAACTTTTTTAAAGTTCGAAAATTCCTGCTCATCTTCCCCTGAGGAAGGATGGCTGAGTGATGTGGCTGTAGCCATAGTAACAAGGGTACCGAAAAGAGAAACAAAGTAAGCCAGGGGACCTACGGGGTGGGGAGTGCGGGTGGCTGCCCTGAGGCCCTAGGCCCTGGGGGCAGATGGTCCTTCATTCCCAGTCCGGACTAGACCTTTCCACAGCCTCCGTGCCCGTCAAAGCCTGAAGAGATTTCATCAACATTCTCAAAATTGTGTGTTGGACCACCTGACCGGACTCTAGACCCCCAGAGACAGATCTGCCCACAGACCCACCCCTTGCTGTCTGTTCAAGGTATGAAAGGAAGAGGAAAAAACTGTGGGGGGTAGACCTGACAGACCCACTGTGGGATTCCGCCTCTGGAGAGACGCTCCAGTGCACCCAACCCTGCTTCCCAGCCCTGTGCAGGGGTCTGTCCTGTTCCCAGAGCCCAAGGTGGGGCTGGGCAGGCAGGGAGGCTTACCTCTGTGAGCCCCAGCCCTGGGAGGGGGCAGGGCTCTGCCTGCTCCTCTGGGCTGGTAAGGGGGATGGGCATCCTGCCTCATTGTCACTGGCCCAGCCGCACTTCCAGAAATTCTTCCTGCCAGTAAGAAGAGGAAAGAAAAGCCTGGGCAGCCTTTTGGGCTGCCAGGAAGGGGGTGGGCAAGTGGGAACCAAGTTTCCCATAGCTCTCACGGGCCAAGCCAGGGCTCTGGGGCCTGCTGCCTGGGCCAAAGGGTCGGCTCAGCCCTGGGACAAAGGTGGCCCCCAGTCTGAGGTGTCAAAAGAACTGACCAGTGAAATGGGGGCTCACTCAAGTCCATGCCCAGGCAGGCTGTGTTTGTGGCTGCAGAAGAGAGATGGGAAGAAAGAAGGCCTGGAAATTGCTGGGCTTCCCACAGGTCTTTTCTAAATGGCGGAGTGGGGGGTGTGTGGGGGGGAAGGTCAGAAAAGACTAAAGCTCATATTCAATCCAAAGTAATAATGGACTCACCTCTTACTTCAGTGTCTAGTCTTATAGATCTTGAAGGGGGACATAGTAAAAATTACTATTATTATTACTATTATCCAGTATAGCATTTTCCTGGTGTGTTCTACACAACACCAGCCTACAGGGGTAATTTTTTTTTTAAGATTTTATTTATTTATTTGTCAGAGAGAGAGAGAGAGAACAAGCAGAGGGAGCAGCAGGCAGAGGGAGAGGGAGACTCCCCATCAGGCAGAGAGCCCGATGTAGGGCTCGATCCCAGGACCCCAGGGACATGACCTGGGCCAAAGGCAGACACTTAATAGACTGAGCCACACAGGCGCCCCTACGGGGTAATTTTGGATAAAACGGTAGGTTTGCAGAACTTAGCACATCAGTTACCCTCTTTAAGACTCCCAGGGCTCAGTGTAAGTATTAAATTCTCAAAGAAATCCTTCAGAGACTCAATGCGCTTTGTTAATCCAGTGTTTCTCAAATGTATTCAACCACAGAACCCCTTTGTCATGGGACACTATGAAGTAGGGTTCCCAGATACACATTTTGGGGAATGCTGCTTTAAAGCTTTTGAGGGTGGTTTTCTAACTTTGTTCCAGCCATGTGCCACAGGGGTGGTATGAGGGAAAGGGGGAAATGAGTCAGCTGAACTCTGGGTCTCCATCCCACCCCACCCACCCCAATTCAACCAGCGGTTCCTTTATTCTGCTGGAACTGGGTCTCCAACAATATATTTTTATTTGATGAAAGGCCTCTGCTGCTAAAACTAGATCTGAGAGCCAACACTTTATGGTTCTTCATGAATATATGCTTTTACTTTTTTTTTTTTAAGATTTTATTTACTTATTTGACAGAGAGAGAGAGAAAGAGTACACACAAGCAGGGGGAGCAGCAAAGGGAGAGGGAGAAGCAGGCTCCCCACTGAGCAGAGAGCCCGATTCTAGGACCCTGAGATCATGACCTGAGTTGAAGGCAGACGCTTAACTGATTGTGCCACCCAGGCGCCCTTTCTTTTTTTTTTTTTTTTTTTTTTTTACTTTCTTTTTTTCCCCATGAATATATGAAGAAAAAGAAAAGAGGCAGAATTGATCAGGGGTGGGGGGTAGAATCTAGAAATAAAAATAGTGACATTAAAATGCTATTATAAATTAAACAGAACAGGAACACAGTGTGGGAGGAAATCACCCCATGTGTAAATCTCAGAATGCTCTGTCCAAGTATTTCTAATTCCATTTTACAGGTGAAGAAACTGAGACAGGAGGAGTTGAGCCATGGGCCCAGGACTATCTCTGACTAGGTATTTTGCCATCCTTCCCCAGGACTGCAGAGTGGGCCTGCCTTCAGAAAGCTCCTAGGTTCATGGTTGAGGCAAAACTTGCCCACCAAAGAATGGAGAGTGGAAGCAATACCTTGCAAATGCAAAGTCACAGTGGTTTGGCCTGTCAGAGAGCAGAAGAGAAGGATTTGGGAAGCAAGGAGCTCAGGAAGGCTTCTCTTTGTGATCTGGAATTGCCCCATGATATGCCCCAGAGTTTGGCATGATTCTGCTCTATGAAAACTCATTTCTGTCTTCAGTTCTAGAATTCCTTAGCCATTGTCTCTCTGAATATTGCCCCTCATTCTTTCCAATCTCTCTTCCTGGGATTCTACTTGGCATAGGTTGGACCTTCTCCTTCTATCCTCTCTCCCTCTCCCTCTTACCTCTTTGTGCTGCATTCTGGGTAAATTCTCAGATCTCCTTCTCTGGCTCTGTTTATCCCACTGAGTTTTAAATTTCAACAATCACTTTTTTTTTTAAAGATTTTATTTATTTATTTGACAGACAGAGATCACAAGTAAGCAGAGAGGCAGGCAGAGGGAGAGGGGGAAGCAGGCTCCCCGCTGAGCAAAGAGCCTGATTCGGGGCTTGATCCCAGGACCCTGAGATCATGACCTGAATAATAAGGATCATCAGAATTATGGTAGAAGTAATATCGACCACATTATGAGATAATATGTTGCAAACTAGACTTTCCCCAATATCTTATTGTACTCCTTAGCTCTGCCCACTTCTTGTAACTAGTTTGCCTTGAGACTCACAAGAAGAATGTGAACATTTGCGTGGCCCCTGGGTTTATGGAGGGGACCCAATGACCATCAGCTTTAGGACTCCAGGTGGGAAGTTCTTCTATTATTCTGCACCATCCGTGTAACCTTGGGAATGTCCTCCTACCTCCTCAAACCTTGGCTTCTCACCTGAGGCTGCACCAGATGAGCCCATTCTGACTGTGATTCTTTCCCACATCAGTCCCTGAAGCTTCCCCTTCCTACTCTGCCTTGTCCTTCCCCTTTTCCTGGTCCAGTGAAAGATCTAGGTGAGCAGAGGCCAGGCACTGATAACAGCTGAACAATGACAGCAGAAGCTCCCCAACTGAGGGCGTGGGAACCAGCTGAGATTCTGGGAGAGGGGCCGGAAAAGAGGAGGGGGGAAATCCAACAGCTGGACAGGCAGTCCCGTCCGCCCCCAGCCCTGCCCTGGAAGCTCTGCTTGGCAACGGGGGTAAACCAGGGTGTTTCTCTTGGATGCTCATCTCCTGAGCCACTCATTCATTCAATAGCTATCTACTGGACACCTACTAGGTAGCAGGCCCTATGCCAGGAACAACCTTGCCCCTGGGGACTGTCCCTTCCACTCAGCAGAAACATTCATGACTGTTGTTACAGGGCTCACAGCACAGTCCTAGGAAGCTAGGGAGCAGGAAGGGCTCTGCTCCATAAATCTTCTTTTTTTTTTTTTTTAATTTTTTATTAACATATAATGTATTATTAGCCCCAGGGGTACAGGTCTGTGAATTGTCAGGCTTACACACTTCACAGCACTCACCATAGCACATACTCTCCCCAGTGTCCATAACCCAACCGCCCTCTCCTACCCCCTTCCTCTGGCAACCCTCAGTTTGTTTTATGAGATTAAGAGTCTCTTATGGTTTGTCTCCCTTCCAATCCCATCTTGTTTCCTCTTTTACTTCCCTGCCCCCCAAGCCCCCCACGTTGCCTCTCAAATTCCTCATATCAGGGAGATCATATGATAATTGTCTTTCTCTGATTGACTTACTTCGCTCAGCATAATACCCTCTAGTTCTACCCACGTCATCGCAAATGGCAAGATTTCATTACTTTTGATGGCTGATAGTATTCCATTGTATATATACACCACATCTTCTTTATCTATTCATCTGTTGATGGACATCTAGGTTCTTTCCATAGTTGGCTATTGTGGACATTGCTGCTATAAACATTCGGGTGCAGGTGTCCCTTCGGATCACTACATTTCTATCCATAACCCTTCTTGACAAGAAGTTGCCTTTACTTTTGCAAGAGCACAGGGAAAAGGGGTCTTTACTCCCCACTCTGCTACTACCCACCCACCCCGGGCCTGAGGGAATGAAATCCTCTGGGAAGTTTGCCTGAATACAGTCAAAAGAAATAGATTGGCTGCATTTTGTGGCCTCCAATATGCTGTTGGACACACGACCCTTACTATCAACAGTTGTGCAGAAAGCTCTAGATGTCTGTTAACCTTCCCTTTGCTACCACAGGATTTACTTCTTTAAAGGGGGGAAAGAGTGTCCCAAATCCATCATGGAAATTGCTCGATTTCCCCCAGAAAAGGCCACTGGGAACACTTTCCCATCTTTGTTAAAGGGGAGAAAAAGTCTGAAAAGTTTGGTGAGCAATTTTTCTTGGAAACTGCGAATGGTAAGCTTTTTAAGCCCACCTCTTGAGCTGGCCACTGGGTTTCCTCGGGACTGCAGTCATTCTTCTGCTGGTCTGGATTTCAGTTGGTAAAACAGGCCCCAGCAATTCCCGATTTCCTCTCGGAAGAGCAAACACGAAAAAAGACTCAAGATTTTTGGCTCTCAGTCTCTGTTGGGCTCCACAGGGAGGTATTTCAAACTCTGATGTTACGTGACGTCATCACCGGGCCCTGCTCAAGGCCAGCACGTCACAGAGCAAGAATACCACGTGCTCACGGATCCCGCACACGTATATGATGTACACATAGCCTACCCACATATACGCCATTCTGAGGTCTGCTATATTCAGTATGCACACAGCATAATTCCCCACACAGCACGGACACAGAATACAAACATACATTTCTATGCTCTACAGACATCCCTACGCACAGACACAGACATAGACATACACACGCACACACACATACACACACTACACACAGATCTGTGCCACGTTTATATCACACATGTGAACATAAATGCACTGTACACGTATGCCACATTCGCAAATGCATGAATGCTAACATACACAAGGATGTGACCAACATATCCTATTTTCTGATTAAAGTTCTTAAGATTTTAGTTTCTTTGTAAGCCTAATTACATAACCCATCAACTTTTCTTGGTCTCTTCTTTTCTTTCTTGACAATATTTATGGATTTCTTTTTTCTCTTTCAGCAAAAAACAAAGCAACAACAGCGACAGAAATTTTCTTCATATTGGCTATACAGAAATGCAACCAGGTGCAAATTTATCCAAAATTCCAGAAAAACAAATGAGCCAATAAATCAGATTTGGGCTTGTTTACCCTCTCTCTTCTTGCTTACAAAACTGTGGTCATGCTTTTGTCTGTTCACAGACAAGTGGGAGATGCTTGGGGACAGCTGTCTTCTTCTAGATGTTTGCCCTGGGGGAACACACACAAGAGTTGTCACAAATCTTTGGAGAAGCACTTCTTACAGAAGGTTGGTTCTCTTCCCCACCTCTCTGAGCCCCCCCCCCCCATTAAAACATGGCCATCGAGACAGTGAAGACGGGAGGTAGGAAGGCATGTATACCGTCGCCAACACCAGGAGACCACAGCAGACATTACTGATGGATCAAGGCATCTATCCCTCCCAGCCTGGACTTGGGGTCACAGTCCTCCAGAGTCTTACCAGTTAACCAGAGCTGGCAACTAAGGTGGGAACGACGTGAGATCCCACAGAGCCCAAGCCCCTCAGTGTATAGATGACGACACCAACAGCCCAAGAACGGGGAGTGATTCATGTGAGATCACACGGCACAATTCCTAGCAAAATGAGCCCTCTGCTCAGCTCTGTGCTCCAACAGATGTGACTGATATGGGAACGAGGGCCTCCCCTGAGGCTGAAGAAGAGGGGCCAGAAGAAGGTGAGGCCAGGCTTGGATTTCCCTAGAGGCACCAACTTGTTTCCCTGGTCTAAGCCCTGCGCACCCTCACTGGCATGAGCCGAGGGTCCCTGCTCTCTCGGTGACAGCACAACCGTGCCCACCAGCCCTGTGCCTTGGGCCTTCAGGATCAAGGCAGCGAGTGGAGAACCTTCCAGGGTTCATGGATGTCATCTTCCCTTCTCCCCCATCTCAGCCATCCCCTCCTTCCTGAAGCCTTCAGCCTCACTACCTCTTGCCAAGGCCCTCTCCCCAGAATCACTGCCTCTCACAAACAGATGTCCATCCATATGCTGGCCTCACCAGGGGTCCCACAGCTAAACCAGAAGTGCCTTCTCCCAATGGCCACTCCTTTGCTTTTACTATGCCTTTTCCAGAAGCCCTTTCCACCCTCCCTGTTGCCTCTGGCCCATCCTTGAATGCCAGTTGCAGATGTCCCCCGCCTTCCCCAAAGCACACATGGCTTGCTCTAAGTCACCAAAACTGTGTTTCTGGGCTTTTCTCACCAGTCTGATCCGAGAGTGGAATGTGTCTGGGTTTTATCCCCTTAGTGCAATGGACTTTGGACCTTTCATACCCACGGCACTCTTCTCCAGAAGAAGCCCTTCCTCCCAGATAGCACAGGCCTCCTGTGGAAACTTCCACTTGCTCACACTCAAGCTCCTTGGCATGACCCCAGCTCCCGGCACATTGTGGGTGCTGAGGACATATCTGTTGAGGGGGCACAAGGGACTCATAGGTGATGGAGCCCCGGCCTCCGGGCAGGAAGGTTCCTGGCCAACCCCACTCCCCTCAACAGAGCACAAGGCAAGACACAGGAAGTTTCCCATGGACTGGTTCCCTGGCCTCCAGGCACTTCCTCTCAGGCCAGTCCTATCTCAGGGCGACAGCTGCTGCAGGCAGCACTAATGGGGGACCCTGGAGGGGAGGCTTCTCCTGGGAGGCCCTGTCACAGGGCCAGTTGGACACAGTGTCCCCACCTGTGCTGCGGCTTCCAGCCTGGGGTGGGCATTGCGGCTGCCAGGGACATTCTTTCCCAGGGGTCAGGATACAGCTGCTGGGAGCTGGGGAGGGCTAGAGAGGGCCTGTGAGCCTCAGCATTTGAGTCACATCACAGCCAGATGGACAGATGCCTACACCAACCAATGTGCCACCACACATTCTCATCACATACACGCGCTGCACACCCCCCCCCCACCATGTGATGACAAACAGCACAATGGCGCCCCTGGCATGACCACGGCCACCAGGGGGGTTGCACAAAGCCAACACTGGGAGAGGCTGAAATGACTGCAGACAAGGAAGGAAGAAAATAGAGCAACCAAAGACAGAAGTGGGAAAAAAGGTGCTTTATTGGTGGGAAAAGCCTCAGGTCCTGTTGCTTCCACCCTGGCTCAACCCCAGAGACTGGAAGGACTATCTTGGTCTTTTTTGGACCCCAGAGCCCACAGGGCACAGAGCTCAGCCCGGTCAGCCTCACTGGCAGCCCCCAGGAGGTATGTGGTAGGAAAAATGTGGGATGGGGACCCAGGAAGTCTGAGTCGCCAGGTTCGGCCAGGACCAGCTGGGCAACCTTGGACCAGTCCTTGGACTTTTCAGTTTTCTGGTCTCTGCGTAAAGGGCAGTTCCAAGGTCCTTTAAGCTGTGAAAGTATGTGAGAGGAGGTGGGGTAGGGTGAACCAGGGGGGATGGGAGCTTAGGGAGGGGAACCCTCCGACTGTGGAGTCTGGGGATCTGGGAGCCCAGCACAGATAGCCCCTTCAAGATTTCCCAGAGAGAGGGCAGGAGGGGCAGCATGGAGCCACAGTGAGGGGGTGGGGAGGCAGTGGGCTGCAGAGAACTAACCTGGAAGGGAGGCCAGGAGGCCTGATCCTCCCTCCAGTGGCTAAGAAGCCCCTCCCTGAGGCCAGTGTCCCCTCCCCACCCTCGCAGCCCCACAGGGCTGAGCCTGCTTGTCCCTGCTTCTAGCAGGCAGGCCCCTGTCTGAGAACCGGGCTCCCCGGCTTGTGACGATGATTCAAAGAGACAGCGTGTGGAAAGGACTCAAGAGTGCACCTGGAATGCTAATGTCGGTGGTCGTATTGTTGTCCTCACACCTATTAATGCATGTCTCTCTGTCCTCATCCTAGGTGGAGACTCTCCTAAGGCGAGGATCATTCTTTTGTCCTTCGGCAATTTACCAACATATTTCTAGTCATTTGCTTCATTGATTCTGCCAGCAACCTAGCATGGCGGGCGTTAGCAGTCCCATCTCGCAGGTGATGATGAATCTATGACTCAGAGAGGACAAGTGACGGTCCCCAAGGTCATCCTTCCACAAGGTGGCAGCGTCAGGACCAGGACCCCAACCTGAGTTCAAATGATGTCCTCCTTCTTCCTGCCAAGAATCTCATCCACGGAAAAGAGAAAAAGAAACACGTTTCCCTGTTAGAGCTGCCTGGAGGAGGAGGAAGAGGAGGAAGAGGAGGCAGAAAGGAAGGAAGGAAGGAGTTTCTTTGAGGTTCACCCATGTAGCTGTAGATCATTCTTTTTCATTGCTGTGTATATTTCTACCTTATAAATATACCCCACTTTGTTACCCATCTTTCTGTTGACATATATTCAGAAATGCGGATTAAAACTCCAACGCAACCCCTTTCCATATGCATTAGAGAAGCTCACACGAAGCAGGCCAAGGAGGCCGACAAGCAGGCCGACAATACTAAGTGTTGGTGAAGGTTGTGGGCAGGACCAGTGGGGCTCCCAGACACCGGTGGTGGAGGTGAAACATGCTAGAACCTTCCCTCCCTGTTCAGCAACATCAGCTCGGGTTGTACGTACTCATATCCTCTGAGCCAGCAACCTACCCTGGGTATATACCTGAGAGAAAGGTGTGCTCATGTCTAGGACCTGTCCTAGAATGATCATGGCGGCCGTAATGATTGTTCCGTCACTGTGTACATTGCTGCCAGGCTCTCCACTGTGGGATTGTACCATCTCCTATCAGCCGGTATCAGTTGTAAGCAGGGCTGACGGAAGTGTCCTTAGGCACATGCCTCGTGTGAACTTTCCATTATTTCCTGACCACTGTTTCCCAGCAGTAGATTGCTGGGTCAGAAGCATGTCCGTCTTCAAGCTGTGAGAGCCACATCGCTGCCCTGGCTTCCCCTTCCGCCGACCCCATGTGCCTGTGGCTTTGAGGCTTCCACCAACCTAGAAGTCACTCCCTGTTCAAACGCAAGCTCCCCTCCCAGGAGCCCAGAGAGCCAAGGCTTTCCAGACTCCTGGCAGCGAGAGGAAGGAAGGTTTGGGGTAAACACGCTGGAAGCACAATGGCCACAGCTCTCAGGGCCAGGCCACCGGGGGCCGTGGGGTCACCAGCCTTCTTCCGCCGGCTGAGCCCAGGCTTATCAGAGAGGCCGTTGGGGCCAATGTTGTCTGCTGGTGCTGGTGGCGCCCAGCTGCACCACCACCCCCTACCCCCAGGCAGAGCACCAGAAGTAAGGGACCAGGGGCCACTGGCCCAGGAACACCGAGGAGGCCTGGTCTAACATGGGAGCTTCCGTGGGTGAGGGCAGCACCCAGCACTTCCTTCTCCTCAGCCTTACAGTTGGGCGCTGGCTTCTCTCTGAACCGCTTCTAGATTTCCCTTCCCTAAATGCCCAGGGGCTGTCTCTGTGTGGAGGTAGGCAGGGGTGGGTGCAGGGGCTTGGGGGAGGAGGCAAGAATGGCCCGGTGTCCAGGCCCTTCCCCCTCTTTGAGATCAGGCATGGTTTCCCTGAGGTGATGGGGAGAGCCCCAAGAAGTACCCCTCTTGGCCAACAGGCAGGGCCTGAAATGCCCCCATTTGTATTCAGTGCCTTTGTATTCAGTGCTGGCCCACCTGCCCATCCACCCAGGGAGTGGCAGGCAGCCCAAGGGAGGGAGGTGATGAGACCCGTTCCTCCCAGCAGGGAAGGGGAAGGAAGGTTGCAGGAAGCCCACTTCCCCAGCTTCACAATTCGGCTGCCAGCTGCATGGGTCAGGCCAGCTGTTCCAGCCATTCCCACACAGTCAAGCCCTTTCTCCACGCCAGGGGGAGACCCAGCCCTCCATTTCCCCTGGGTTCTTTCCTGCCAAGGGTCGGCCTGTGCCAACCCCCGGGGCAGAGACTGGGCGTCTGCAGGGGATAGTGAGCTGGACATGGGCTCTGGAGTGGGCGGAGGACCCAGCTTCCCTGGAGACAAAGGCCCAGAGAAGAGGGGACTATCTGGTCTCAGCTGCCACATCTATAAGACAGGACTAACAATATGTGGCTCCTAGAGGCCAAGCTCAGGGTGGGGACCAAGGGAAGAAAGAAGGTAGGATGAGCAGCCTTCACCATGGCCTGCCTCGGCACCCAGACTGGAGCTCCCAGCTCCTGAGGTTCCCCCACCTTCCCACCGTCTGCTCTGAGCTCCTGCCACCAAGGACCACCCTGCCTGACCAGCTTCATTCCCACGCCACAGCCACAAGCTCCGGACACCTGGTGCCCTCAGAGTTGTTGTAGGCCAGGCCTCTGTCACTAGTTA